GCCGTCGCAATCGCGAAAGTAGTCGTAGTAATCGTAGTAGTCGTACTAGTAGCAATAATTGTCGCAGCAGTAGTAATACTAGTATAGAAGTAGTGGTAGTAGTACAAATAATCGTGATACCGAAAGTTGTAGCAGTAGTACTAGTAGTAGTAGTAGTAGTAATAGTGGTAGTAGTCATAGTAGTAGTCGTCGTCGTCGTCGTCGCCGTAGTAGTAATAGTAGTAGTAGTAGTAGTAGTAGTAGTAGTAGTAGTAGTAGTAGTAGTAGTAGTAGTAGTAGTAGTAGTAGTAGTAGTAGTAGTAGTAGTCGTAGTCGTAGTAGTAGTAGTAGTAGTAGTAGTAGTAGTAGTAGTAGTAGTAGTAGTAGTAGTAGTAGTAGTAGTAGTAGTAGTAGTAGTAGTAGTAGTAGTAGTAGTAGTAGTAGTAGTAGTAGTAGTAGTAGTAGTAGTAGTAGTAGTAGTAGTAGTAGTAGTAGTAGTAGTAGCAGTAGTAGTAGTAGTAGCAGTAGTAGTACGGGTAGTAGGAATATCAATAATAGTGAAAAATAAAATTGGTATCCGTTATCCAAAATGGTTCTTTTGTATTCTTCTGCACACACCCAGCGTCGGATCTCTACCCACCCTCTCTTCCTCATCATCACCATCACAATCGCACACTGTGACACACACACACACACTCACACTCACACACTCACGTCTCCTCTACGACTCACTCACTCACTTCATCGTCATCACTGACTCACTCACACCCACACTCACTCACTCTCACACTCACACCCACCAACATGACCACCGTCATCATCATCCGATCACTCACTCAATCACTCACTCACTCACTCACTCATCATCCATTCACTCACCAACACCACCCCTCAATCACTCATCACTTCGTCACCACTCACTCCTTAGCTGGAATATGAAGGAGGTATCCAGCGGGAGTTTCGTCGGTGAGTGAATTGTGAGGAAGTCTCAGGCAGGAACCCGCTCCGTATGGGTCCTGCATTTCATGTTGGTAATCCGAGCGGGTCATCCTCAACCTTGTAACTGTCGTCTCTTTTGGGCTCCTCAGGCCTGAATATAGAGGAAATATCAAGCGGGAGCTTCGTCTGTGAGTGCAATGTGACGAAATTTCCGGCGGGACCCCCCCCCTGGGTCCCGCACTTCACGTTGGTGATCTGATCGGGTCGTCCTCAACCCTGTAACTGTCGTCAGTTTTGGGTTCCTGAGGCGTGAATGCGTAAGAAATATCAGGCGGCAGCCTCGTTTGTGAATGAAGTGTGAGGAAATCTCCGGCGGGAGCCCCTTCCCCATGGGTCCCGTGCGTCATGTTGGCAATCCAAGCGGGTCATCCTCAACTTTGTAACTGTCGTCACTTTTGGGCTCCTGAGGCTTCAATCTGGAGGAAGTATAAAGCGGGATCCTCGTCTGTGAGTGACTCCCACCAGCCCTTTGGGCGCAAGTGGTTTAAGGAGTTTCCTCTTCCCCTTCGGGGAGGGGTTTATCACTGTTCCCTATAAATCAACACCCCCTCCCCCAGGCGACTGGGGGCCAACCAGGGACCATGACGACCCCCCCCACACCATCCCTGGCAAAAAAACCATACAAAACACTCTCTGCCTCCAAAAAACAGCGGGGGCGGCGGCGGCGGCGGCGGCGGCGGGCAGCGGCGCGGCGGAGGCGGCGGCGGAGGCGGCGGCGGCGGCGGCGGCGGCGGCGGCGGATTGGCTCCCAGTAGCTGCCCATCCAAAGACGACTGCTGAATATGCTGAGGCTCGGGCCAGACTCGGGTGCTACGTATGTGTTGGGAGGGCGGGTGGGAGAGACGGCTTGCGGGCGGGGAGGTCTTGACCCCTCCCCGACCCCCTCCCCTGGACCTGGACGGGGGGTTCCGCGACGCGTTGGGGCGTCCAAAAACAGCCTCAGCGAAGAAGCCAAAATCAATGGATTTACTACGGTGTTGGCCCCATTTTGGCCGCCTGAAGGGGGGGGCTAATTGAGCCCCCCCCTCCTGTGATCGATCTCCTCCGAGATGGCCCCAAGAGGCGCCCGGGAGGCCCCGAGAGGCCCCGAGATGGCCCCCAGATGGCCCCATGTGGCCACAAGAAGCCCCCAAAAGGCCCCAAGGATGCCCCCAAGAGGCTCCAAAGAGACCTTCAAGATATCCCAAGATGCCTCAAGATGGCTCCAAGAGGCCCCAAGACCGCTTCAAGACGGATCCAAGTGGCCAAAGAGCTCCCCCAGGAGGCCCCGAAGAGACCAAAATCGCTCCAACACCTCAGGAAAATCAATGTTTTGGGCTTTCTCGCCTTTCCGCTTCCGATGGCCATCCGAGGCTTCAAGATGACTCCAAGATGGCCCAAGAGGGCTCCAAGAGCGCTCCCGAGGCTCCCAAGAGCGCTTCAAGAGGGCCCCAAGAGGCGCCCAGGCGGCCCCAGAAGGCCCCAACAGGCGCCCCAGAAGCCTCCACGAGGCCCCCAGAAGACCCCCAAGAGGCCCCAAGAAGCTTTCCGAGGCACCCAATACGCTCTAAGAGGCGCCCAGGACCGCCAAGAGCACCCCAAGACGCTCCAAGGGGCCTCCACTAGGGGACCCTTCCTCTGTGTGCTGCCCACTTCCCTGATCGAGACACTTCCTCTGAGCATCGTTTCTGGATGGGCTGGTGGGGCTACTTTTTTCGGTCGCGGCCGCGAGCGAAGAGCGCAGGCGGCGAACAGGGTGTCCGGGCCAACGGGCAAGCCTAATTAGCTACAAGACGCGCCGAAAGCCGGCCGGCCCACTCACAAAGCAGCCGCGGGGCTGTGCGGGAAGCTGACGGCAGGGGACATCCTGGGAAGCTCGGGCACGTGCAGTCTGACAAAATGTAGAGAAATTAGTTGCCTGCCGTGAGGCATGACCCACACAGCGACATGACGTGTATGGCCATGGGTCTCTGAAAAGAAGCTCGTCAATCGTCAAAAACTGCCATCATATTCAATAGATTCCGTCAACCTGGACACGATCGGACCCGTGATATACTCCCTGGCGGCTCCCCCTTGGGGTGTTCAAGTGCCGTGCTTGCTACATCGCGACGACCATGAGTCTCTGAACAGAAACCCGTCTGCATCCGAGAAACAATAATCCGGTTCGAGAGGTCCCACAAATCTCGGCGCGAGCAAGCCAGGAGGCGCCCAAGAGCGCCCGAAGGGGTCCGTAAGCAATGACCCGTGGGGCTCAACATCGCGCCAACCAAGAGGGCCCCAAGATGCCCGCAAAGAGTCCCAAGAGGACCCGAAGACCCCCCAGATGGGCCCCAGGAGGCCAAAAATCCAACCTTGTCTTTTCATCGTCATCCTTCTACTGTGAATACTCCTCCTCCTTCTCCTTCTCCTTTTCTTGTTCCGCATCATGCTCCTCCTCTTATTCCTCCTCTTCCTCCCTCTCCTCCTCCTCCTCCGCCTCCTCCTCTTCCTCTTCCTCTTCCTCCTCCTCCTCCTCCTCCTCCTCCTGCTCCCCCTCCTCCTCCTCCTCCTCCTCCTCTGCGTAACTATATTAGCTCAAGTACCATGCGGTTCGAGGTTGTCCATGGCGACTCCTGGCTTCCGAGTAACCTCAAGCCGCGCCCAGTGCCTCCACGTGGCACTTGAGGGGCACACTTAACGGCAGGACAGCCTTTGGTATCCAGTCAGAGGGCGCGACGAGAGCTGGGCGAACTCGCTGTTGCCAGAGATTGATGTGGTGCCTCCTTTCAATGGTCTGACTTCGACGTCCCGTCCGCTGGGACGTGGGGTGCAAGGGGCTTCGGGCCGATGTGATACCCCTTCCGCGGGGGCAATGACAGTGGGTGCTGGAAGTAGTTCTTTCCTGTACATCAACGATGACGTCCCGTTCGCAGGGAACGCGGGGCGCAGGGCACTTTGAGCTCACCAACATGCCCCCCTCCTTGGCAATTGTACTGGCGTGGGTGTTGTTCGGACTTGTCTGGAGCACGCGGGGTTAATCGTCACTTTCCGGTACGAGCACAGTCGTGCCGTTTCTGGAAGTCTTCCTGCCGAGGAACCTGCCGTTGGTTTGAACACTTGGTGAACGCAACATTATTAGCATGCGGGGTTAAACTTCCCATTCCAGGCCGCGTTGTGCTCAACCTGGATTCTGCAATGGCCGGCATTTCACGAATATGGCGCATGAGCCTCGTGGCGGCTTCCGCTCTGAGGTGCAGCAAGTCTTCCCAGCTTGTAAGGTCCACGGGTGATATGACTTAGTCACTGCCTCATTCACACATTCCTCCTCCTCGTCCTCTACAACATGCTCCTCTCCTCTTCCTCCTCCTCCTTCTCCAGGAGTTCTCTACGAGGCCCACAAGACATTTCACCTGGGCATCGGTTCTAAATGGCCTGGTGGGGATACTTTTAGTCAGCGGCCGCGGGCGAGCGCGCCGGCGGCGAGTCCAGTCAAAACGGGGCACGCAGCGACGAATTTACCTAAAGCAACGGAGGGCGGTAATACGAATGAGAATCATAACAATAATACGGATAATAATAACAGTAGTAATGATAGCACTAATCCCAAACTTAAGAGATGAGCCATGAAAACCACGCTGGCGCGTCCTCTTCACGACAACTTCTCAGCAGAAGGCAAAGGGCTTGCACATGGAGGGCGGAGGAGAGGGAGGGAAGGAGGAGGAGGAGGAGGAGCGAGGAGGGCAGGGAAGGGCACTGGACCGGCGGGCGCCGTCGTTTTCAGAGGGGAGCCGACGTTCCCTCCACCTTTCGGATGACCCGTCCCACCTCCTCGCTCCTTTCCCTCCCTCCATCCCTTGCCACGCCGCCCCTCCCTCCCACCCTCCCTCCCTCCCTCCCTCCTCTCCCTCCTCTCCCTCCTCTCCCTCCTCTCCCTCCCTCCCTCCTCTCCCTCCTCTCCCTCCTCTCCCTCCCTCCCTCCCTCCCCTGCCGCGCCGCCCCTCCTCGCGACCCGCTCGCCCCCAGGAGCGCGGCAGCGCCCCCCCCCCCCCCTCCCTCCTCCCAGCTCGCCAGCAGGGCCGCCAGTTCGGCGTTGTTGCGCAGGTGTGGGTCCACCTGGAAGCCGCGAAGGAGCGAGGAGGAGGAGGAGGAGGAGGAGGAGGAGGAAGAGGGGGAGGAGGAGGGATGGGGAGGAGGTTGGAAAGAGGAGTGCCAATGAAATGCAAGACAGCGTTAGAGCCAGGCAGACAGACAGACAGGCAGGCAGGCAGGAAATTATGCAGACAGGCAGAGTGCGAGACAAAGGAAGGGAGGGAGATCGAGAGGGAGAGGGGGAGAGGGACAGGGAGAGGGAGAGAACACAGACGAGACGAGACAAGACTATACTATCACAGAAAGGGAGAGAAGAGACAGGAGAGGAAGAGAGAGAGAGAGAGAGAAATGAGAGAGACGAGAAAGAGAAGAGACGAGACGAGACGAGAAGGGAAGCTAATGCGGGATAGACAGGGGCGAATCAGATAGAAGAGAGAGAGTATAAAGAGAGAAATAAAGATAACGAACGAAGAGAAGGGAGAGACAGAAACGAGAGGAATGAGAGAGAGAGAGACATAGACATAGAGGACAAGACAAAGAACTGACAAAACGGGAGACAGACACCAGCAAACATAAACAACGAGCAATACATCTACATTGGAAAAAAGAGAGAGAGGGAGAGAGGAAGGAGGAGAGAGAGAGAGAGAGAGAGCAACGCTTCGGACGAGGGGCTCGTCCCCCAGGCGGAGGGCCGGCGCCTCCTGCCCGCACCTCGTCGGCGGGCGGCACTGCTTTGGGATGGCAGGGGTGGCCCACCCCGCCTGGGCGCGGCCGACGAAGGGGCCCCGCCTGGAAGAGCCGGCGGGTCGTGGTGATCGGGGCGCGGCGCGCCCCGTCGGCGCGCTCGAAGCGGGGACGAGGCTGCGGTTTTTTTTTCGCACGCTCCGGCATGCTCGCCTCGGAGCCCCTGCGAAGTGAGAGAGAGAGAGAGAGAGAAAAAAAAAAAAAAAAAAAAAAAAAAAAAAATATATATATATATATATATATATATATATCAACAAACAAAAAAAAACGGGGAAAGGGAACGCGGCACTTTACCAGCCTGGACCATATCCCTATCCCTATGCTGGGCACCTCCTCATCACGATGCCAATCTTAGGGATTCCCTTATTTTTTGAGGGCGGATCCCTAAGATTGTCATCGCCTGTTGGCGTGTCAATCTTAAGGATAGGGATACGTTCGAGACTGATGAGCACCGGCAGGGGCAGATTGAGGTTTTGGTGGCGGAGCGGGGTCAGAGAGCCCGCGGCAGGGTAGCACACAGACGTGCGCCAGTGTCGGCGGTGGACAAACCTCCCTTCAATAATTAATAAACCTCCCCTTGGTGAAAACGGCCTGGGACCAAAACCGACGGACCTGGACCCGCAAAAATGACGGCCGCGACGCCCTCTCGCGAACCGAACATGGCCAATTCCGGAATCGACGCGTCAGGGTAGAAGGTCTATCCACCTCCGACAGTGAATATGTTCCCTCTAAAAGAGTTCCATTCATCCGAAGCCCTAAGACGCCGCCCCCCCGAAACGAGACCCCCTGGACATCTGGTCCCAATGGCTTGCTGGACGCCCCTGCATACAGAGGGTCTCTTGGGACTTCCGGGCCTCCTGGACGTCCCTGCCTGGCCTAGTAACCAAGCCCTGAGCGGTCAGAAGGGCGCCCGAACGGCCCCACGATAGCCCAAAGCGGCCCCCCACACACCCACCAGACGCACGAAAACGGCCCAAAGAACACGCCCACGCGGCCGTCGAATCGCAAAATTCAGAGATTTGCTGCTGGTTCGTGTACAATGTTCAAAAGCTCGGTTCTTCTGTCTTCCGGGCGTCCGAGACCGCCCGAGAAGCTTCGAAGATCACCCCTAGACTGGCCAAAAAGGCGTCAATAAGGCCGTGGAGGGCCCCGATACAGCCCAACATGCTCCAAGATGGCCCCAAGAAAACACCGAGACGGCCCAGCATGGCCCTAAGACATCCCCCCAGAACACTCCAAATCGAGACTCGGCCGTTCAGGGAAACCGCGAAGGGCAACATGATGGCCCCAAGAAGCCGCCAGAGGCCCCTAAAAGACAATCAGGAGGCCTCCAGAGGCCCCCAACAAGCCCCAATAAGTCTTCGAGGAGCCCCAAAGAACCCCCTTGAGGAGGGGCCTCCGATTAAAATGAAGGAACGGGTCGGATGGGTTCGCAGAGAATGGCGAGAAGGAGGGGTAGGATAAGGAGAGGGAAAGAAAGGGAGGAGGACAAGAAAGAAAACGATAAAAGCATTTTGTATCGATCGACCTTTCTTTCTATGTTCCTCTATCTCTCATTCCGCCCGTGCTAAACTTGAAGGACCAAGGCGTATGGCGCGAAGCGCCACCGCAGCCTCGTAAACATGTGTATACATATATATATATATATGTATATATAGATGTGTGTATGTGTACACTTTTATGTATATATATGTGTGTGTAATGCATCAATGTGCCGCGAGGCACTGAGTAAAGTGTCCTCAGGCCCATTCCAGCTTGAAAATACGAAGGGCCCCAGACCCCTGAGTTCCAGAACCCCGGGGAGCTCTTGGGCGCTTTATTCGTGGGTCGTGACTTTTTTCGGGACCTTGAGGGCGCAGTTGGGAGTCCATAACTCGCACGCGTCCCAAAATACCCCGAAAGGACCGTTGTGGGGGGTCTCCTGGGGGGCGTTCTGAGCCGCCTCGGATGGCCTCGGGGCAGGCCCCGTGAGGCCAAACGATTGACAAGCATGTGGTGTTGGACAATTCTAGCCGACTCGCCGTCACCCCCCTAGAGAACGTCCGGGCCGGTCCGAGGGGCCCCGGGAGGAGCCCAGGGATGATGAAGACCACCCCAACCCAACCCGAAGACCCGAATTTCGGGTTGGGGGGGGGTAAGGGTTCCACATGTGTTTTCTCGATGTTTCCCGACCCCCCCCCACACTGGAAATCGAAGGTAAATCTGAGCCTTCGGGTTGGGGTGGGGTGGTTTGGTGGGTGGTGAGATGGGGGACCCGACGGCCCCGCCGAGGCCCCACGCCTCAGGAGGGCTCCCGAGACCGGCTCCGGGGCCCGAAGAGGCCCCCGGGAGGCACCCAGAGGCCACCAGGAGGCCTCCGGGAAGCTCCCAGGAGGCTCCCAAAAAAGACCGCCAGAGGCCCCAAAAGAGGCCCCCGACGGGCCCAGAAGACCCCCACGAGGCCTCCAAGGAGCCTCTTGTCCATAACCCAGGCACGCGGGCGGGTTGAGACGAAGGCCACGGGAGTTTCGGGCACTCTCGCAGGGCGCCCTGCTTTTCAACTTATCATGCATCCCCCGCACTGGTGTTGTGCACCATGCTCCTGGAGACAGAAATAGCGAGAACATGCGAGAGAGAGAGAGAGAGATAGACGGACAGAGAGCCAGACAGAAAGACAGACAGACAGGCCGACAGAGACAGAGACAGAGACAGAGACAGAGGAAGGGCGCGGGAGTGACCGGAGAGCGGTGGCCGGAGCAGCCAGTGCCGGGGACCAGCAGGGGATGCACGGACGCTGGCAGTGAGGGAGGGGAGAGAACGAGGCAGGAAGAGAGGCGGACAGTGAACGGAGGGGGGGTCAGCCTGGTTGGACGACGGTAGGGCTAGCAAAGAGGGGAAGCGAATCATGAACATGCAGCCGACTGCTTGGGCTCCTCGAGGCGCGCGAACGAGTATGTATCGAAGAAAGCGTCTGCCGGAGAGAAAGAAACAGTCTGCATGCATCAATCTTCTTCCCGAGCTCCCCCCCTTTGTCCCAACCGGGCAATGGGAGGTGGGAAATAGGACATTGGACTGCGCATGGGAAATGCGAAAGAAACAACAGGAAAGGGACATGGAAAGGGAAAAGGAGAGGGGGGAGGAGAAGGAGAAGGAGAATGAGAAGGGACGGAGAAGGGAAGGGGGGGGGTAGTGGAAGCCCTGGATACCCGTCTATCAAGTTGGCCTGCGCGCCGCCCAGTGCACCCTCAGCAGATGGCCGGGGCGGCCGACGCGATCTTCGGCCAAATCTCGGCGCACTCCTTCGCGACGGGGCCCTGGATGGCCGAGCCCTTCATCTCGCCCTTGTCGTTCACGATGACGCCAGCGTTATCCTCGAAGTAGATGAAGACGCCGTCCGAGCGGCGCCACGCCTTCTTCTGGCGGATGATCACTCCCTTCAGCACCTTCTTGCGCAGCTCGGGCTTCCCCTTCTTGCACGTACACAGCACCATGTCACCAGGACCGCCTCTTGGCAGAATGTTCAGACGACCGCCGATGCCCTTCACCGCCATAATGTAAAGGTTTTTGGCGCCACTGTTGTCGGCGCAGTTCATCAGCGTGGCGACCTGGCAACCGACAGACATCTTAAGCTTGGCAGCATTGCCCGCGCGTCCACGCTTCATAATGTCCTAAACTTGCTGCGGAATTTTAGGCGTGCGGCACCCGTGGTTCGAGACGAAACCGCTACAGAAGAGGAATATACTATCAGTCGGAACCCGAGATGCAGATGGGAGGACGACGGCGACGATGAGGACGACGGCGAGAAGGAGGTGCGTGATGCAGGAGGAGGTGCGGGAGCAAACAAAAAGCAGTCAAGTGGGCCAATCAAGCCGACGAGCACAACAGCTCGATCTCACCAGATTCTCTGACTCACCACTGTCACCATCATAATAATAGCCTCTAGGCGCGTGCCCGAATACATCAAACTAGTACTTTCATATATCTCTGCCAAGACAGACACCTCTTGAACATACAAAGCAGCTGCGAATTGCCGGCACCGGCTGAACGACCTGACATTAAACAAACCCCAAGACATTCGTGGACAACTACGGAGGCATCTGTCGAAACAGAACACTGTTGAAAATCCTGCCACTCGACAGCCGGGTCGTCGAAAGGCATCTGGGCCCTGACATAATCGCAGGCAAACTGGAAGAGATTAGTCGATTCGGGCGTGGCCGATGGACGCAGCATACATCACCCAGGGGCTCTTCTGTGCCGCACGACACTGAGCGGCATGTCCCCAAGTCACGTCGAGTTCTGGAGTGAGCATCTATGCGCACATTGTGTCAGCAGCCCAGCGCCCGGACTTCCAGAACTCTGGGGCACTCCTGGGGCGTGGCGCCTGCCTTGTCTTGGAATGAAGAAAGCTTTGGCTCTTAAGCGTGTTCGGCCCCGGAGGGGGGCAGCCCGAAGTGGCCCTCGGAGGCCCTCGGAGCCCTCTTGCGCCGAGATGGCCCCCGAGACCGTCACGAGGCCCCCGAGAGGCCACCAGAGGCGCCCAAGAGGTCCCGAGACGCGGCAGTGTGCTCTGGCCTGCCGCAATGACCGCGGTTCCTCCCTGCTGCCGCTTCTAACCGGGGCTCTGGGCTTCTCGAGGCAGCACTCGTGTTACTTCCACATGGTTGGCGCAAAAAGTCCACATGTCATCCTCCTGTGGCAACTCATGGGGGCCTCCCATGTCATCTTGCTGGCTCTTGCGAACTGACGCTAGACTCGACGCTGAATCGACGCATATCTGCGCGTTCCCATCGACTACCAGACGCTGGCGCTCTCTCATGCGCTCTGGGAACGGACTTGCGGAGACATGCGCGGCTCCCATGCGCTGCTGCCGAATCGCCCCCTGCGTTTTCATACCGGATCTCCGGCTCGTGCACCGAGCGGCCCCCGCGAGGGCACTCCTGGATCCAGCACCTGGCTCGCGAGGGCACGGTCGGTGCCCAGTTCGTGCTCCACCGCTGGTTCCCCGGCGTCTCCGTCCGCTTTTCGCGGTTGCTTGTCAAAGTCCTATATCCTTCTGCTTCTCCTCCTCCTCCTCCTCCTCCTCCTCCTCCTCCTCCTCCCCGTTCCTGCGCGGTTCCATAGACCCTGGTCAAGGGGCATGGCTGGAGGGATGCGCGGGACACGGGCACCACTAAGAGTTGTTTTTCACTGAAGAGCGCCCCCGAGTAGCCCCTGACCAGCGAACGGCCAGGCGGCAGTAGACCAGGCTCGCGGCACGAAGCCGCGACCAGTCACCTTCCTTGCACGGCAGGGCAGTCACGCAGTGGAGGGTCGCACAGTCAACCCGAGGTGCTGACATCCAAGACACAGCCCCGCAGCAATGCCGGCGGCCCTGCATACCTTCCACACGCGCTCACAAGAAGTTTTGACCTCCAGGATACAGCCTGGCGGCAAAGCAGGAGGTTCTGCACTTACTCCGCACGCACACAATGATTACTTACGTCCAGAACGCCGCCCGGCTCCAATGTCAGCCGTCCTGCATACGTACACTCCACACGACCACAAGCATGCAAGAGGCATTGACGTCCAGGGCACAGCCCTTCTTCAATGCCAGCAATGCTGCATACACCCGACACATGCACACAATATCCCCGTGACACAGGCTGGCGAAAATACCGCCGGTCCTCCATTCACTGCATACGTACACACATCAGGTACCGATCTTCCAGAGCAGAGCCCAGCGGCAATGCCAGCACATCTCCGTTCACGTCACACGTCCGCACAAGAAGCCCGGACGACCAGCCAACAGCCTGGCGGCAACGCCGACCTGTTCAAACCCGCGCGTGCAACCAAAGAGGTAGATGGACCTCCAGGACACAGCCGCGCGGAAGTGCCGACGGCCCTGCACATATCACCAAGGGCGAGGCACTGGCGCTGGGCACAATACATAGATTCGACACACGCACTCAAGAGGTACGAACCTCCAAGACGCAGACTGGCGGCACTGCTCGCGGGCCTGCAGGAGGACGTTCCTCGATTCCCCTGATGATGCCGTCTCGCCTTCAAGACGCAGACTGGCGGCAAGGCCGGCGGTTCTGCAAACACTGTGCACTTGCTTACAACCCTTTGACACAGCCCAGCGGCAATGCCGACAGTCCAGCACACGCACTCACGCACAGTTCCATATGTCCATAGTTTGTTATCTCCACGCTTCACGCTCATCTGCATTAACTGTGCGCGAGCACCCCAACCACCAGGACACAGCCTGCTGGCAATGCCTGCAGCCCTGCACATGTATGTATGTATGTATGTATGTATGTATGTATGTATGTATGTATGTATGTATGTATGTATGTGTGTGTGTGTGTCTGTCTGTCTGTCTGTCTGTCTGTCTGTCTGTCTGTCTGTCTGTCTGTATGTATGTATGTATGTATTTATGTATGTATGTATGTATGTATGTATGTATGTATGTATGTATGTATGTATGTATGTATGTATGTATGTATGTATGTATGTATGTACGTATGTATGTATGTATGTATGTATGTATGTATGTATGTATGTATGTATGTATGTATGTGTATGTGTCGTTTCTACATTTATATATATAGCTATATGTATATGTATGTGAATTTCGCGCTCACACAAGGTGCCTCTCTCGCACCCCAACTTGCTCCGCTCTGTCCTCTTTCTACCTTCGCCTCCTTGCTCTTTGCCCGCATTCACTTCTCCACTGTCTGTGACACCGTGACACCGACTGTTGTCGTCAATACTCTCCGTGGAATCTGTGCCCCCCTAATGCCATCCCTGTGGTGATCCGTCCTGCTGTGGAGCAATCCCCCCCCCGAGAGGCGAGTGGCGCTATGCTGCCCCTCGTGGACCCTGAGGGTGGCGATCCGCCCTAGTGCGCAGCAGGTCCCCTCGCTCAGCCATGGGTGGCGCTCTGTCCTATTGTGTAAAAGGCCCCCCGTTTGTCACCTTTCAGGCAGCAAGCCGTCCTGCTGTGGAGCAGGTCCCCCGCTGTCACCCCTGGAGTGGCGATGCCGATCACGCCCCCGCTGCCATCCTTCCCCCCCTGGCACACCTGGGGCGTCGAACCGCCGTGCTGTGGAGCGTGTCTCCCCTGTCGCCCTTGTCCCTCCCCCTCCGGTGTCCATCGTCCTCCCTCACCCTTCTCTTTCCCGAAGTCTGACTACCTACCAGACCACCCCAACCCAACCCGAAGACCCGAAATTCGGGTTGGGGGGGGTACGGGTTCCACATGTGTTTTTTCGATGTTTCCCGACCCCCCCCCACTGGAAATCGAGGGTAAATTTGAGCCTTCGGGTTGGGTTGGGGTGGTTTGGTGGGTGGTGAAAGTCGTATGTATTCAAGCCGCTCTGCTGAGGGATGTGGACGGCAGGGGAGGGAGAGGAAGACAGAACGCTTCGCACTGGGGGGGGGGGGGAGGGCGCGCGCGCGCGCCACCCTCTCGAGGCAGCCGTGGGCCTCCCGGAGGTACCCGCGCAGCGCCGCAAAGGAGTCCACCACGCGCCGCGCCACCCAGCCGGTCGCCCGGGCGGCCTCCTCGCCAAGTCCCGCCTCCGCCTGCGTCGCACCCGCAGGGGGTCGTCGGTCGTCGTCGTCGTCGTCGTCGTCGTCGTCGTCGTCGTCGTCGTCGTCGTCGTCGTCGTCGTCGTCGTCGTCGTCGTCGTCGTCGTCGTCGTCGTCGTCGTCGTCGTCGTCGTCGTCGTCGTCGTCGTCGTCGGTCGTCGTCGGTTCGTCGTCGTCGTCGTCGGTCGTGGTCGTCGGAAGAGGAGGAGGAGGAGGAGGAGGAGGAGGAGGAGGAGGCGGAGGAGGAGGAGGAAAAGGAGGAGGAGGAGTGGGAGGAGGAGGAGAAGGAGGAAGACGAGGAGGAGGAGGAGGAGGAGGAGAAGGAGGAGGAGTAAGGAGTCAGGAGGACGAGGACGAGAACGCAGGCATGCAGTCATCAAGGAGGTGCGTGCAAGAACTCTTGTGCGCTTCTGCATGCCGCACGGCTGTGTACAGTCTCACTAGATGGATATGTCGATTCCTATATTTTTACATGTCGGGGGGAGCGCCCGCCCCCCCCCTCAACCGAGCCAGACCCTCCAAATCCTCGGCGCCCACGGACATCCTGGACGCCCTTGCAAAGGGTCCCCTAGGATTTCCTGGCCTCCTGGAGGTCCCTGCCGAGCAAAGCACGCGGGCCCAAAGCGGTCAGCCCCAAGCAATTCCAGACACCCACCAGACGACTGAAAACGGCCCACAGAACACACCCCAAAGGCCATCCAAGCGCAAACAAAGGCATTGATGTTCTTCTGTTTTGGTGCTTTGGGGATATTCGGTTCATCGGGCTTCTGAGCGTCCGCGACGCCCAAGAGGCCCCGAAAATCATCCCAAAACAACATGCAAGGGCCTGCACGCAGTCCAAGAGAGCCCCAAGGCAGCCCAAGATGGCCCCCAAACGCCCCCCGAAACACTCCGAATCGTGACCGAGTCGTTCAGGGAGACCGCGGTTCGCAACAAGATAGCCCGAGGAAGCCCCCAGAGGTCCCTAAAAGGCGCACAGGCGGCTTCCAGAAGACCCCATGACGTCCCGAACAAGGTTTCGTGAGACTCCCAACAGGCCTTCCAAGAAAGAGACTACGCAGAAAATGCTGACCAGAACAAAAAGGTGCACAGGGTAAACAAGACTGTGAACGAGTCAGGGTGAGGGGGCTGAACCGAACGGTCATTCACTGTCCCTGGGTGCGTGGCTGAAGTGGAATTCCGCGATGCGGATTATTGTTGTTGTTGCTGTTGTTGTTGCTGTTTTTGTTGTTGTTGGTGGTGGTGCTGTTGTTGTTGTTGCTATTGTTGTTGCTGTTTTTGTGTGTTGTTTGTTATTTGTTGTTTGTTGTTTGTTGTTGTTTGTTGCCGTCGTCCCGCAACCAACCCGCCCCGCGACCCACCCGCGACCCACCCCGCGACCCACCCGCGACCCACCCCCGACCCACCCCGCGACCCACCCGCGACCCACCCGCGACCCACCCGCGACCCACCCGCGACCCACCCGCGACCCACCCCGCGACCCGCCCGCGACCCACCCCGAGACCCCCGCGGCGACCCACCCGCGACCCACTGGCGACCCACCCGCGACCCACCCGCGACCCACCCCGCGACCCACCGGGGACCCACCCGCGACCCGCCCGCGACCCACCGCGACCAACCCGCGCCCACCCGCGACCCACCCCGCGGCCCACCCAAAATGTTCGGCGCCTGCGGCGGGCTTCTTTAGCATTCGTTCCAGGTGGAGAACCTGCGACCCACCCGCGACCCAAACAGCGTTCAGTGTGCAAATCAAAATGTTCGGCGCCTGCGGCGGGCTGTTTTTGAATTCCTTCCAGGTGGAGATGGAGAGCCCGCGACCCACCCGCGACCCAAACTACGCTCATTGAACAAGCCAAAACTTCGGCGCCTGCGGCGGGCTTCTTTAGAATTCGTTCCAGGTGGCGAACCTGCGACCCAAACCGCGTTCAATGTACAAATCAAAAGTTTCGGCGCCTGCGGCGGGCTGTTTTTGAATTCCTTCCAGGTGGAGGTGGAGAGCCCGCGACCCACCCGCGACCCAAACTACGTTCACTGAACAAGCCAAAATTCGGACGAGGAAGAGGGGGAGGAGGAGGAGGAGGAGGAGGAGGAGGAGGAGGAGGAGCAGGAGGAGGAGGAGGAGGAGGAGGAGGAGGAGGGCGCCATCGACAAGGAAGGTGAGGGCCACGAGGTCCGCCAGCTCGACGCCCGCGTCGCCCGCGCCCGCCCCCTCACTCTTATCCGCAATTGCGGGGTGCTGCGTAAGAGGAAGCATGAAGGAAAAAGAAGGAACAGCATACGATGGCAACATACGGCAACAAACTGTTGCCATAGTTGTTGCACGTCTGCACCTACCTCCCATTCCTCCCGCAGGCTGAAACTGAAGGACGAAGGTACACGGCGCGAAGCGTCAATGTAATCTCGTATGTGCACATAGACGCAGACGTGTGTGTGTGTGTGTTGTGTGTTGTGTTTTGTGTGTTGTGTGTGTGTCGGATGTGTGTTGTGTGAAATGTGTGAATGTGAATGTGAATGTGAATGTGAATGTGAATGTGAATGTGAATGTGAATGTGAATGTGAATGTGAATGTGAATGTGAATGTGAATGTGAATGTGTGTCCCGCCCATTTGGTTCTGCCGTTTGTTCTCCTGCTCATAGACCTACTGCAAACCTCTCTCGTGCTCCATCCTTCTCCCACCCCATTATCTCTGTCCTCCCTTCCTTCCCCTGTTTTACGGGTAGCGCCAACTACACGGGGCAGGTAAGGAAGCTATACCCAAAAGGTGGAAACGATCGAAGACGAAGAGGGCGGGTATCTAGGGTTTGGGATAGACGCATTGAATGGGACGCGGGCAGATAAGAGCGAACAGTCTGAAAATGATTGTTGTCGTCCTCGCCCGCGACCCGCCCGCGACCAACCCGCGACTCACCCGCATTGCTTCGACGAAAGGTCGGCGACTGTAGCGGGTCTATTGCGCAATGTGTAAAGAATATCGGCGCCTGCGGCGCTCACTCTTGTCCGCAACTGCCAGTCCCTCACTTCCTCAATATCATCCTCCACCTCCTATTATGTGTTTCACTTCCAGTGTCCATAGCCACATAGACCATGCAGTCGGCTATACTCTTGACTTTCCTGAGTAATCAGGTGACGAACGGTTGATATCGCACCGTGACTTCCACCCTGAATCCCAGATACGCCCTGGGCGGTGTCAGACTCGTTGGAAAAATGCCTCCGAGCAAGGAGCCCGTAAAACATGAAACAGCTTACGCCGCCACTGGGACCGCCTGGGCGGGCCCCTTGGGCAACTCAGCCAGCTCTGCCACCGCGCAAGGATAAGGAGGAGGAAGAGAAGGACGAGGAAGGGACGAACGCAAGACTGAGAAGAGCAAGACTGAGCAACGCCGCGCCATAGGAAGAGGTCGAGGTCGATGCGGAGGAAGGACACCGGAAGCCGCGCATGAGCACTGGGCCACTGGGCGCTGCTGCTCGACAGCGCGACTCTTTTGCAAACTGCCGACAGAAGCTTGCAGCGTCGCTCCTGTGAGCAGGAGAAGGGGAAAGGGAAGGCGAAGCAAGCAACCAGCAGTGTGTCGTGGAACGGTCGGAACGGACCAGGCGCCAGCGGGTCCGGCGGTCGTCGGTCGCCAGGCGTCGGTCATCTGTCGTCGGCTCTGGCGGGTGTGAAGTCAGACGGCGAGGGGGCTGGGGGGCTGCGGCTGTGGCGGCGGAGGCGGAGGAGAGGGCAAGGGAGGGTTTGGGCAAGGCGGGCAAGAGGGGACGGAAGCGGGGAAAGGGCGGGAGAGCTGCGTGGCCAGCAAGGCGCCTGGAAACCTAGGCGGTGTCAGGCTCGCGATCTGGCTGGCAGGCCAGGAGCTGCCTGGCAGACTGGCGCCAGAGCTCGGTGCTGATGGCGACTGCGAGACGCCGGCACCGCCACTCCCCATCGGAAAAGCCACGCCTCCTCAATTGTTCAATCGCGATGGTGCGAGGAGAGCGCCCGCGGATATGGACACATACATACACGAATCTACACATACATATATTTACACGCGTACATATATACACAAAAATATATAGAGACCCCTCGTGCCTCGTACATAGATATAGACATATACACATACACACGTAAACAACAACTCTTGTGGAAGGGACCCAGTGGCGGCGACTTTGAAATGCAGCGTAAAAGCCGAAACCTACATGCATGCAATGAGCCTACGGCTGGGACCCTCATGTTCACGGAAGTGTTACCAACATGAAGAGCCGCTGGATAAGACTCCATGGCAGCGGCCTCAAACCCCAAAGATCAACCAGACCCTATGGTCACTCCCATGCTTAGAGTCAAGAAAATTGTAAGCTAAGAAAACGGACTTCGCTCGAAGCATTTTGTCAGGTACGAACAGTCCACGAAGAACAGAAGCTCCAAGAAAACGCTCAGGGTCCAGTCCAGATTTCCGATTTTCTGAAAATACATAGAAACCATGAACGTTGCTGATTTTTCTTAAGTTTTCTGAGAGGTGTATAGCAAAGACCGGCAACTCAAACATGTAGGCCAGGAATCCATGCCGGGAATAAACGGCGGTGACCTGAGGCTCAAGCACACATGGTCGGTTCTTCAAGGCGCAAGGAAGAACCTCTTCGTGCAAACACGATTCGGGGAAAAATATGACGTGTACTTTTACGACCTCCTCCGCCGGTTCCTCCTGGGGCCGCTCCACCCTCCACCTGATAACTCCAGGCATACGACTCCCCCCCAGCCTGCTCGACGCCACTGAGTTGGAGCAACGACATTGCATCCAGCAGAACGTCGGCGTATAAGTCCTGAGGTCGGAGGGGCATGGAAAGATCGAGAGGGAGAAGCGGACTGCGGCACTCGGACGGGGAGCAGGAAGCCGCTGCGCTGAACAACAAGACTCCCTCCATGTGCTGTGTCTATGAATTTAAAGTTGCCAAAGAATAGGGTCTCCCAGTGCTCTCGCGGACACCAGAACACATCCGCGGATCGTTTGCACCTCTGGCGTAGCTTCACGTCACAATCTCTGGCTTTATGGATAAGGACGCCAACAAACTCCCTCGCAATGCCTACCTGACGATCTTATCATCTCCAAACCACCCCCCCTATTTCCCTCCCATCATTCACCTTCCTCGCCCCCCACCCTTTTCCACTTCCCTTGCATTTACCACGCACGCGGAACTCACGCGCAGCTCACGGGCAGCGTGCGCATGCACTTCTAGTTTGCGCATACGCACAGCCTGCGTGCTCAAATTACTCATAGACGCGCAACGTACGCACCGGCAAGAAACTTACACGCACCGCGCGTCCGTATATAACGAGAAGAATGTGCCGAACTGTGCGGCTATTTAACACAAGCGTGTGGTGTGCCAAGGAGGGTCCCCGAGGTATGTGCGTGACATGCCCCGCCGTTTCACCAGCGCCGTGACGACTTTTCGAGGCACTTATCTGCTTTGGGGACGATGTGGGTAGCGGCTGCGCTGCACTCTTCCTGGTAATCCCGCTCCCCTGTTGCTGCTCCTACACCTGCGCCTCCTTCTCCCTCTTCACTTAATCAACATGAATACTACTCCCCTCTCTCCCCTGACTCTGTCCAGAAGATGTCCCGCCCTCTCCGCGTACCGTTTTTTTACATACAGGATTGGACCACGGTAAGTGTTCTTCTGGCATGCTGCAATCCGATTGCTTTCTCCGTATTTCAAAACGGTGCTCCCGCTGCAGCGCGGGCCTCGGATCGGCGCTGTTCTCCAGTCCTCCAGACTGGCGCCGTCGCCCCAGCGCGGGCCGCTTGCCCGGATCCGTGTTCGATCTCTGTCGCCCCCCCCTCGTTTCCCCTCCGCCGCCTTCCTCTGGCCCTCCTGCTCCTCCCGCTCCCTACACTCCAGCTCCTCGTCCTCCCCCCCTTCCTCGTCCTCCTCTGCCTCCTGCTCATCCTCCTGCTCGTCCGTCACCCCCTCCAGCGTACGCCGCTCCATGTTGTTTTCCATCGCAATAGGGAGGAATGGGTGGGAGGGGAAGCACGAGCGCACCTACCTTGCCTCCCCCTCCCTCCCTCCTCACTGTCACCCTTCTCCACTTCCTCTGCAGCCCGTCGACCCGTCCACTCTGAGCCCCCCCCAGAGGGTGCCCTATGGTGAGGTATTTTGGAATCCCCACGAAGTCCCCCGAGGCCTCCCGAAGCCTCGGGTGGCATGAGAAAACCCATTTTTGTTCCAAAATCTTCACCATCGATTCTCGAACCTCGATCCTCGAAACTCGATCCTCCCTCTGAACTTGAGTATGCTGTGGCACGGGGCGTTGGCTTGCGAGGTACATAAATAGGAAGAGAAGAAAATAATGAGAAGGAGGAGGAGCAGGGGGAGGAAGGGAGGAGGATGAGGAAGAAGGTAAGGGGAAGGGGTATGGGAAGAGGAAGAGGAGAGAGGGGGAGAGGAGAGGATATGGGAATGGAGGGGAGGGAGCAGGAAGGGGGAACGAGCAGCAGCAGCAGCAGCAGGAACAACCATGTAACCCCCACGCTAGAGCCCACGGAACGGCATAGTGCAGGAACGCAGCCCGGCGCAGGGAGTCTCCTCCCGCCCCTTGCGGCGGTCGTTCGCCACGCGGTTCATACGGGCGACCAGCCCGGCCAGGCGGTCGTGGGCGTCGCGGTAGTCGGCCCGCTGGGGGGGCGGGGGGGGCGCTCTTCGGTGCGCTCCGGGAGCCTCCAGGGCGAGGGCAAAGGTCGAGGATCGAGGATCGAGCATCGAGCTCTGTGTGGGAGGCCCAAACCTCAGTCCGTCGCCGTACAGTTTTGGGACCTTGGAAGCCCCAGTCGTCTTTGGAACACGGCCCAGATCTCCCAAAAACGTGCCTTCACCCCGAAACCCCACTGACTCAACCGGAGGTGTGGCCACCGCGCCGTCTTGGAACTTACAATCTGGGCTGCTGTGTTGACTCTTTGGGCCCCCTGCAAGCTTCGGGGGCTTGGCGGCGCGCAGAGGGGAGTAGCTGGGGGGGGAGGCTTTTAGAAGGAGGTTGTTTCTTAGAAGGCGCCAGCCTTACGGCAATAGAAACGGCCCTCGCCTTCTAAGAAGCAAGGGTGCTTTTCAGAAGCCTGCCCCTTCCCCCTACCCTCCTCCCAACCATCGTTCGGACGTCCATTCCCCGTGCATGTGTCGGTGTCGTGCGTGTGTGTTGTGTTGTGTGTTGTGTGTTGTGTGTTGTGTTGTGCGTTGTCTTTTCTTCAACCACCCCCAATTGAATGGTTCAGGTTGCCGTTACTTTGGGTTCAAACGCCTCGAGGAGCCCCAGGGGCCCTGGGAGGCACATCCACCGTAGTGAACTCAGCCCGCGGTTCCGCTCTCATCGTGGGCCTGACCAGGACTGACCAGGCCGCAGACAGGGTGCGGTGGCGCCGCGAGGACACACTGAGGCGCGCTTCGACATGCTGAGCGGGAGACCCAGCAATCCCCAAGCATCGATCATTCAGCGCTGACAAAAAGGCACCACAACATGCAGCACGCCACAGTAGAACCTCTAGCGGTGCATGGGACAAGGGGGAGGAGGAGACACAACCAGTAAGGGGTTGCCCCGAAGGCTCACTAGAGCTCGACATTCTAAAACCAATCCAACGGGCAACCGGTTGTTCGAAACGCGGGCATCGACAGTAATGGCACACGTCGCCTACATCATGATCGCCTTCCTGAACACAACCAAACAGACAACCCCGAGGCTCGGTATGGAAGCGCGAGGACGTATTAATGGAGTTCTTGAGAAGTCTGAAGGGGGCCACGGACAGGTACATTGAGGTGTGCTTCGCCACCTCCCGCAGATTCCTGCAGAAGATCTCAACATACTAGGCAGAGACGGAAGAGCAAATCTTCTGCGCCTGCCTGAGGCGAATCTCTTTCGCACCTTCATAGTGGCCCCGCTGTCGGACAACGCGGCGCATCTGGGTCTGGAGGATTTTCCCCTGGGCGTCGATGGTCGGCTCGGCGGAACGAAACCAGGGGCCTCCGCAGAGTGCCAGCCCCTATCGCACCGAAAGGGAATGCGTTCGAGATCGGTCCGAATTTCTTCCAGCCGCGCAAGAGAGTGTTCAAGCACAGACGAGCGGATGGCGGATCTCGTGCTCGCAGCAGTAGCGACTGCGCGCGCGTCGAGAAACTCGGCCCCCAAGCCGATCGCGCACAGTTGGGTGGCGAGCTCGTAGGGGAGAGCGCGCCTGGGCCCCACCGCGAGGGCAACGCCCCTTCCCTGAAACAGCGCACCAGTTCACCACTGGCAAGGCACAGCTGCAGTCTGAACTGACGTAAAGAAACGCACATGACACGGGATGAGTTCGCGTCAAGTGCCAGGCTAAGCCCAAGAGCACGCGCGAGGCGAATACGATTGCGGAATTTGGGAAGCACTGGGCCCCAAACATGCTCGCGCCCTTCAGACCCAATAAGGATGCCAAGATACAGCGCCCAAGAGTCCACCGAGAGCACGTCCGCTGGATCCCCCAATTCCAGCAGAACCTGTTTAAGGATGTTCAAGACCAGGCCCCCACAACCTACGATCTGACATCTGGCGAAATTCAGTTTCAAGTTTGCAGCGTCATCGAACGTCTGGGGCCTATCGAGGATCGGCCCTAAATCCTGGAGAGCATTCCGAAGCCCAAACAGTAGGTCGCCCGCGCACGCAATATTGAGACCTAGATGGCGGGAGTAGACATGTCGGAGCCAGCGAAGGAGCGGATCAGTGGCCAAAACATGAAGCAGCATCGAAGCAGGACACCCAATGCTCGGCACCAGTTTGAATCGCCACAGCCCCGAATAGTTGACCAGCGAGGAAGATCGCACCGGCGTCGCCAGCATACATCGCGCGAAAGAACCGAACTACACGAGGAGGGAGACGCACACATGCGAGGACGCGGAGCAACCATTCTGAGGATAGCGATGGAAAAGCCGCCGTGAAAAAGAGCAAGGCACACGGCACGCCTGTCATGGGCTGGAGGAGGCCCCGCGTCTCGGCTCGAACAATGCGCGTGCGCCGTCGTTCCCCCACCTCTGAGACATGCCTGGTCTTTGTCAACAATCGAACTGACATTCTCCGTTATCGCATTCGCGAGCGCGTCCGCAATCAGTTTGGCGCCCCCGCTGCTCATGCTCTAAGGGCGGGCACAGGAGGCGCGCCGAAAAAAAGCCCAATCCCATCCCCAGGGCCCTCCGTGCCCGTGCCCTTCGGAAGGAAGACCACGAGGCTCTCGCGCATGGCAGACGGGAGAGAGGACACCTGATCTGTGAAGACGGTGGAGTAGACGCGGTGTAAAATCCGCGCTGCCTCCGCATTCCTCCAAGCGTAGTAGTAAGGGATCCCGTCGGGGCGTGGCATGCTGTCGGGCCTCTTGAGGATGGTTTCGCACTGGAGGCAATAGAGGGGCTTCGGATCCATCGCGAGGGGGCCAGGCGCCTTCCGGGTGCGGGGCTCACTCTGGGGCCAGAAGTCCGCCCGAACATTAGGTTTCTCGAAAACGTCACCCCATTGGTCCTCAAGGGCCTCAGCTGAGGTCTGGGTCGTTTCAATCGGGCGACCGCCGTTGAAACTGCCGCACATGGGAAAGGTCCGCCGCCGAAAACGTTGCCAGAGCTCTTTGCGCCGAGCGTTGCGAGCAAGCAGAGGCCGCTTCTGCTTCCCCCTCTATCCCCGACAACTTTAAGCCCCCCTCCCCCCCCTCGAGAATCTGGTTAAACAATGCCAAAACATGATGGCGCAGCCCATCGATGCGGCAGCAAAAAAACAAGTCGGGACTGAA